AATTTATCTTTTTTGGCTGATTTTCTCTATAAATATCGTATTAAAAAATCCGTTTTCATTCAACATCTACATCTATTATTCGCTAATTCTCCTCATTCACAAGCAATCATCAACAATCATTAATTCTTTAGCATTCTCTAAATCATTCATCTCTCTTCAACATTCTTTCTTTCTAAACTTTGTTTTTACATACAAAATTCCGCATTCACAAGATCTAGAAACACCTAGACATATTCGAAGTTGCCTTCTCCCTAGACGTGAAAGGTTTAATTTCTGAGGGTTTGGTCCTAAATCTCTCTTTCAATTATTTAATTTAATTGTTTTGATTATTATTTTCCTTTAAGTTACTAACGTGTGTATTTTATTATTAGAAAGAGGTACGAGACATCAAAGTAATTATTTTATTTGATTAATTGATATTATGATGTAGAAATCATGTTTATATTGTCATTATGATATTCCTAGTATCATGTCTAGGGTATTTTTAATATTAAATATGATTGTTGCGATGCTTCCTATATTCTTCCTAATATTTATGATTGTTAGTATCATGTCAGGATTAAAGATTTGATTTTTATTGCTTAGTGACATGCTAGGGTTTGTTTTTAATCTTGTTAGAATCATGCCTAGGATCTTGCTATTTTTATTAATATGAACATGATCATGAATATTATTATTATTGTTATTTTGATGATTATTTTATTTGTGATTATTATTGTTATGATTATAATTTTATCATGATTATTATTGTGATATTTATTATGTTGCTTGATTATTTATTGTTATTTCTTGATCACACTTTTATGCATGTTTAAAGGGAATTTGCACTTGTAATCACGCTTAATAAGATAATTAATAATGTTGTTTAGGGTTAATTGTGATTATAATTCAAGTGATCGCCAATAATAGATTCATTTGTACATTAATATTCAACCAACATAGATAAACAGGTTTAGAGTTAATCCTATTGATTGCATGTTAATCAGAAAGCGCACATGAATACGATCAGAATAAAGTAGAGGCCTATTATTAGGGCAGGTTCAATCTCTTTTAGGTTGGATTTGTACCTTCATCCCCGAACCCTTATTTGGTTCATGACTTTATGGAGTTGACGATCTCTTGGATCGTTAAGGGGTGTAACCTTCACCTCGTGAACGGTTTACAAGTTCCTAAAAAACTTGTTGGCGACTCTTTTGCTCTATCTTCTTCCCTTTTGGACGCCACCATACTTTAGTGTATGATCACAGTGGGGTTCAAGCTAGTGGGTTTTTTAAAGCTTGAAATTATTCCCTACAATTTTTGGCGACTCCACTGGGGACGCTCCGTGCAACAAAGGGTACATCCGAGATGTTGAATTCACCAAACCATGGAAGCGAGTTTTTTTTCTAAAACTCGCGGTGTCCCATCCACTCGCGCCAACCCTTCACGGTTAGGCTTCCGCGCGGTGCATCCGGACAATTAACCATGGACCCTTTTTTACTAAACCATATCCTGAACTTTAGAGAACTAGAGCCATGGTTAGGTTGCGAACTCATTGCATCATATTGTGCCTACTTGACTAATTGTGCATTATTTGTTGTGCATATATATTCTATGTTTCTCTTAACCGTTTGTTGACTTGTGTTGAGACTAAATAAATTAATGACTTAAAAAACTTTGCCTAATTAATTAATTAATTTGAGTCAATAAAGTCTAATAATATAACAAGATTAAAAAAGAACCTAAGCCAGTATTAATTAATATTATTATGTTTCTATAATATTATAATTTTAATCTTGTTATTACACTATAATTTTAAATTAAATATTATTATGTTTCTACACTATGTAAAACATATATTGTGATCACTTGAATTAAATAACAAGATTGAAAAGGAACCTAAGCCAGTTGTCCAAATTATCTTATTAGGCGTGATTTCCAATTACATGTTCCCTTTAAACGTGCAATATAGTGATCGTAAAAATAATAGAAATAACATTAATATTGGAAGCAATTCAACCATAATTCCAACAATATAAAAATCGTTGAAAAAATAATAGAAATAAAAGGAACATAATTCTTACTTTGATTTTGTTTGTTTGCAACTACAAAATAATAAACGAGTTAGTAACTTCAAGGAAATAATAATAAAATAATAATTAAATTAAATTAAATTAAATTAAATTAAGTAGAGTTGATTTGAGGCCAAACCCTCAAACAGTTCTACCTTTCACGCCTTGGCTTAAGGACAGAACCACGAGTAAAGTATGGACTCCTTGGAGTACTTGAAGAAGGAATTTTGAAATAAGAAGGGTAGGCTAGTGTTTAGGCTAAAGCATAGAAGAGAGAAAAAACTAGAGAATTAATTGATGCCCCGTACATCAGAAATGAGGGGTATTTATAGAGAAAATATTCTAAGGGAACACACGGAACCCTAAAATGATAAAAACCCTAAAAAAGTATCCCGCGACACGGCAAACTGTACCGTGACACGGGAAACCCCACCGTCAGACGGGAAACATTCCCGTGACACGGTGCAATTTTAGAGGGGACGCGGGAATTTTTTAGTAAACGGGACAGAAAACGCGTTAAGGGTTTACGCGGAAAGGACACGGAAATTCCCGTGTCACAGCAGGTTTCCCGTGTCACGGGAAATCCCACCGTCAGACGGGAATGATTCCCGTGACACGGTGGATTCCTGCCGTGGCGCGGGAATTTTCAGCCCGCTTTTCCGTCTAAATACATTTTTAACTCTAACTTCGTTCAGCATTTTAAGTGCCAATTGATAATTTCGAACCTTTTTCTGATTTATTATTATTTGGGCTAAAATAAGGAAATAAGGAAATAAGCAAATAAAATAAATAAAAGGTTTGGGCCAAAATTAAATAATAAAACAATAAAAAAAAAGGTTTGGGCTAAAATCAAATAATAAATTTGGGCTGAAATAAAATCTATGCTTTTACCAAACATCAAGACTAATCCATGGATTGTTCAAAAATACGAATTTTATCAAATACGATTTTTAAAGCACTCTCGGGATTAAATACTGAACCCGACCAATAGTGGCGGTGAAAGGTTGTTCATCATCGGGTTTGGTTTTGGGGAGACATTTTTAGGTGTCTACAACTATCAGATGAACTTGATCTTGAATAGCTTTTTAAAACCAACATTATTTGTGTTAACTTTAGTAAAAGTTTTGTGGATGTTTTGAGTGTGTATTGCAAACCATTCACATAGTCTTTATATAGAATGAAATGGACACATTTGTTCAGATACTACGATTCACATAGTTGGCATAACAATTTTCAATCTTAAGGTGACTATGACTACACAATTCCAACAAATAACATAGATGTGACTATAGAGGCAAACATTTCATTGTGATAAGGATTACACAATCCATAAATAGACATGTATGTGACTTTCGGAGGCACACAAACATTGTGAAAAGGACTTTACAAAACCATAAAGACTAGACAATGTTATAAAACATGCATTACACAATACCGTAAAGATTACACAATGTCATCGATAAGTGTACACAATGTCATAAACAAGACTACACAATGCCATAAATAATATTATACATAGTACAGGGGAAGAATCAAGAGGGGGCTAGGGTACGCCATGGCCACCCCCTTGATTTGATTTAAGAATTAATTTTCTATCTTAGTATGATATATATTCCATAACTAAGTTGGTTAAGATGTGAGATTTTAAGGATTTCTTTTTAACAGCTAGAGTTAGACTCTTTACACCATTATTATTATTATTATTATTATTATTTTAATCCTCCAATCTTTAGATATCAACGCATCACTGATGATTCCCTAACTTTCACATTATTTATTAGCGGGCTTGTTTCATTTTGGATCTGTAAGGAGGTTGTGCCCATCGTAGGGGATCCTTCTCCTTATATGCCCATGGCCCTTTAAAAGCCTATGACTTTACACTTTTTAGGGTGTATTAATATTTGAATTCCTAACTGTTTGGGGGACCTTGAATTAGAGTTGATCCTATCATTACGCTTTTTTGTAAGAAACAAGTAAGGAGTCGCCAATGAGTTTTAGGAAAACTCATAAACCTCGTTCATACTTTTCTTCCAAGTAGAGTTCAAGGGATATTTAGCATGAATCATAAGTTTTCCCCATGCCCAAATTGGTCTACGTGTACCAGAAATGAGTTCGGGAGTGAGGGTACTAAAATAACGTTCCCTTTAGGGGGAATCGCTATTCTAGCCCTAGTGCAGCCTCTACTTGCTCTTCATTTTTTTTACTATTTCATCACCAACAATATATGCAACGTGGCTCCTAAAAACTAAGTTAGTTGATTTATTTACAAACATTAATCACGTAGGAATTACATTGCAAAAGTCATTATTCTTTTGTTATTCAAATTCGTGAAAAGAACAAAAAATAAACAATGTTCGCCTTGACAAATGTGACAAAACAATCAATTAATTATTCAAATTCAAGTCTTGATTAACACAAGAATGCTCTATGTGAATTAAATTAATTAAAAGTTTTTTAAAGTGATAAAACAACACTATTTATTCATTTAAAGTTATTTAAACCATAAAAGAAAAGTGATTTATATATGTGCTCAGGAAACTAACCGTTTTTCTTTTATATTACATCTCCGTTTAATGCGTTTATGGACTTTCTTTATTCTTCTTACCTTCAAGGATTTCAATGGATTCAATTAAGGTTGAAAAGTATTTGCGAAGAGAGAAGCACTACTACAAAAATTAGCAAAGAGATCCGTTGAAATATGCCTGAGAGACCTCTTTATAACGGGTCTCTATCTCAAGGGTTTGTTTATGAAAACAAAGAGACCCATTGTCACTTATAGTGGGTCTGTTAGGTAAGAAAAAAGTTAATATTTAAGAAGACAAAGAGACCCGTTATGAGAAATATGGGGTATGTTTAGTTGTATCAAACAAACCTATCATGTCAAATAATGGGTCTGTTTGTTCTCTACTTTTTTTTTTAAAAAAACAATAATAATTTTTGCGGTTTGCTTTTGAATTTTGAAAATTTCGTTATTTATGCTCCATAAATATTTGCAAAAATTTCATATATTGTAATTTAAATTTGAATTTATTGAAATTTACATAAATTATTACATCATGTAAAATTGATGTGAATGATACTAAAGATCATCCAACATATAAAACTCAACAAAAAAAATTACAATAATAATTACATTAACAAGGGTTGAGTTCCATTTCGATTGAGTACTCCATTTCGGCATTTCTTATCTCCGTTGAGAATTTTGTGTGATATGATGAATTAAGCAAATCTGACAAAAACAAAAACAAAATAATTCATCATTATAATTAAGAAACATTCTACACTAGAAAAATTATATTAAAACACATTCAATTATTTTCATAAAAGTACAAACAAAATTGCAATCAATCATGAATGTAATACTCTGCATGAAGGCTATTCTCAATTAAAACCAATTTTTTTTAGAAATTTTCAGCAAAGCATTAACGACGATGAAGACCATCGACTAATGCAAATTTATCTTTAATATAAAGCAGAGTGTACAATTATACAAAGCCTTTGAGATCAGATCTAATAGTACAATTTACTCCTTCAATAATTTCTCACCAACAAAAAAATCAAGAAAAGAAAACCCATATTAAAGGAACAAATTACATGAAAAACTAACCTGCATATAACATCAATAGGAACATGAAGAACATTTGAATCTGTCGAGCTCTGGCTAACGAATCGTTGTGGATCGGAGGAAGGAGAAAGATGAATTCGCCAGAAGCGGCGGTTGCTGTGACGGCGGTTTTCTCACGAGTGTGGCACTTCGGAGGCGCCGGTGATGAAGTGTTGGTGGGTTTACGCTTTTGGTTTTTGCGGCAAGGAGCTGGTGGTTCTGTTGCCGGAAAATCGCCGAATTTTATGGAGGATGCGCGGGAATTAATACTCCGTTTGTTTTTCATGTGAAAATATGATGCATTATTTCTGTAAATATGATGCTTTATTTCTGTAAAGAATTCAATAGAGGAAGAGGAGGATGTGAGGGCGGCTAATTAAAAGAGAGGATGAGCTAGGGTTTTAATTTGGGGTTTGGGTTTTGAAGAAAGAGAATGAAAATTAAATATCATTGTTGCTGCATTTAAGGACACGGTGATTAAAAACAAATAATAAAAAAAGAAGTACGAATCCAATATGGGCACTCGTTATTGCTACAAGGAACAAAGGTAAAAGACCCGTTAACAATGAGAATGGGTCTCTTATCTTTCTAATAAGCCAAAGATGTGGGACCTAACATAATTTAGAGACCCGTTGAGTTTGACAACAATTTTTTTATCTCTCTTCTTTTGTCATTAATACATGTAAGAGACCCGTTACAATTAATATTAGATCTCCTTTATCAAACAGACCCGTTGGTTAAATAATAGGTCTTTAATTGGGGGTCTCTTTTTCAAGTTTTGTAGTAGTGAAGAAAAGTAGTATGATAGTAAAAGAACCTAAGAGATTAGGGTTTTGAGAATTCCAGGGTTGGAGTTTTGATTTTTCCGTCCCCTTTAGGGTTGAACGAAGACCCCTATTTATAGGCGTAGGAATATAGGTTTAGGGTTTTAGAGCCGCGCCGTCAGGTGGTGCGCAAAACTCGCTGAGCAACACTGGGTGCAGGCGCGCGCATCTTACTGAGTTGCGCTCGGTGCGGTTTGCCTTATACGAAAATACACTTTTAAAACTTCCATAACTTTTGATTGCAAAGTCGGATTAAGGCATGTGAGAAATCATTGGAGAGATCTGAATGTCTAATTTCCATAGCCATTAGAATTAGGTTAAGATATGTTATGGATCAAAAGATATGGTTGTTGGAGTGTAGGGGTGTCGGTTTTAGGGCCCGGTTTAGTGTTTTGATCATAACTTCTTCGTTTGAACTTGGAATTGGGCTTATAATATACCGTTGGAAAGATCTTTGAAAGGGCTATCCATATGTATTAGCCTTGTATCAACAAAAACAAACTTTTTTCCTCTCCAGGCGGCAAGAATTAAGTCATAAACAACCACAAAGACAAAGCACGATGCAAGCTTATCACCAGGATTTCATGTTTTCTTCTTCTTTTGTTTCAAACCCTTCCCCCTAAAAAGTCTAGAATAGGTTCTCCTTATCCATGTGTCTATGTGTCACATTTCTTACCTTCTTCATAAATGAGCATCTCTTTCTTACATTCGATCATGTGATTAGCAAAAAAAAAAAAAAAAAAAAAAAAAAAAAATTGCCGAACCGAACACAAGGTATACCAATGATTTGAGGTACCTTTGCAACCCATTCATTCCCCATTAACCATTCAATCACATGTCCATTTCTTCATAAACCACTTTGAGCCTCGTCTAACAATTGACCTTATTTATTCAACCCACATTCACCTAACCCTAGGATGGGAAAGTGTGAAATTTGTGTAACATTCAAAAAAGTAAGTGAAAAAAAACAACAAAGCAACAATAAAACAATGTCTAAGGGCAATTGTTCCAATGTCTTTGATATGAACACGTTTTAAATTGCGTCTCTCATCGAGTGCTTGGTACCGTGCCTGAGAAACATGAATGCTAAGTGAGTGATGGACCGCATGATCAGATATTGCCTACATTGATTCAAAAGAATGAAAAAAAAAAATCAAAGAAAAAAATAATAATAATATTGAAAATAAACTTGCAAAATTCAAAATTTTCAAATTCACAATTACACATCTTGGGGATTCTCTCGGGTCTTGAGCCTTGTACCCTTTTCTTCTTTAAACCATCAACTTAACCATATTACAACCCTTGAAAGACCTCTTTGAGGTGTACACACACTTGTGCAAAGTTCGGCAAGAGCTATGTTCGGCCTGATTCCTAACGGATACGTAGGCAACCTCTGATTGAGCTGCGGCCACATTCATATGCATGATCGAGTCGAATAGAATATCCAATGCTTATCCCTATGTCCCTATCCATCTAGAGCTAGACTTTGGGGCTTGAACCCACATCAATTAGCCTACCTAGCCTAAAGGGTTACCATTTAAACTCTTCTCACATCTCTTTCCATCACCATAGCCTTTGCAGCCTCACCTTAGTATCACTTTCACACACTTCTTTCACACATACATAGCCAATCATCTTCCCTTAGGAACCCTTATCATGAAATCTTGTTTCCCTACCGCGCATGCTTCATCATCTTTCAAGATAACATTCATTAAAAGAAACATTGTATACTTGCTTAGCTTCATGACCTGAGCAGTTCATTGTTTCACACATCGGATAATGTGTTGAGCAACATTTATATATCAATGATTTGTAATCATACAAAGCATATCGTCTTGATTTGTAATCATACAAAGCATATCATGCTTAGCTCCTTGACTTAAGCAATGTTCATTATGCAATAATCACTTCATCTATATACGTGCTTAGCTTCCAGACCTAAGTGATGTTCAAGGTCGTTTCTTTACACCATATATGATGCTTAGCTCCATGACTTAAGTTCATTCATCTATCGTATCACATGATGTAAATGTCTTTAGCCTCTTGGCCTAAGAACATGCATGATGCATACATTATTTTCAAGACAAGCAATTCAATCCATACGATTCATTTCGTCTTGCTCAAGGAGGAAGTTCAAAACTTCTTCCCTTTTTCATCTTTTTCTTTTGGGGAAGTTCAAACAAAACTTTCGTCTTATCGAGGGAAGTTCGAAAACAAATCTTCACTTTTCACGTCTTTTTTTTTTCTTCAGGAGCAAGTCGGTACCTTCCACTTGTCTCACGACAAAAATGACGGGAAATTTTTTCTTTTGCATTTTCTGTTGCTTGTGTTTGCACACACACACCATATACACACACAATACAAGTTATACACATGACATATCATGTCAAGTCAAGCTATTAGTCAAGTCAATCATAGTCTATCGAGTCCCCAGGCAAATTTTATTTTGCAGGTCTCAATTACAGCCTACGTCCGGGGACAAGCGGACCATCTACAACCCACGTTTAGGGACAAGCGAACCATTTATAGCCCACGTTCAGGGATAAGAGAACCATCTACAGCCCACGTCCAAGGACAAGCGGACCATACACAACCCACGTTCGGGGACAAACGAACCATCTACATCCCACGTTCGAGGACAAACGAACCATCTACAGCCCACGTTCGGGAACAAGTGAACCATCTACAACCCACGTTCGGGGATTGACAAGCTAAAGTCGTATCACCTAATCAAAAGTAATTCCTAAATCCTCTAACTAATGTAGATAGGGAAGTAGGGTTGAATCCACATGGAAACTAGTTTTTCTATTCCTAATTAATTATTATAATCTAAATTATTAAGTAACCAAATTATTATTGTAAAAGGTATATAAGCTAAGGAGAGTAAAGTAGGGAAGAGTAAGAATAGAGAAAATTAATGAATAAAAGACCTAGATCATAGGTTCACTAATAAGTAATATTTTAGGGTAAAACATAGTAGTCAATCATCAATGCATCAAAACCAGATCATAAAGGGCTTTCGCTACGTATTACAATCACAGAATTAATCTACCGGTATTAAATCTCATCTCTCGAATCTTGACTTAACCATTTATAAATTAACCTGCCTATTGAAACTAGGCCTAAATATCAATTCTCATCTCTCGAATCTCGAATCAATATTGCTAAACTCATACATAAAAGACCAGCGCTAATCTAGTTGCATAGCATTAAATCAATCAATAGGAAATTAATCAAGCATTGACAAACAACAATAATAAATTACCACTTCATATTATTTATGGATCCCCATAAACCCTAGAAAGAAAACTACTCACACATAATTAAATATAAACTAAACAAAGCAATTAAAGGAGACATGATAAGGATCAAAGCAAAGAAAATAAGTAATAAAGGAGAGAATAAATAGTACCAAAAGAAAGAAATATAAAATTGCATAAACTAAGAGTTTTGAGAGAAAAATAAGAGAGAGATAATACTAAGAATTTAATTAAGAGGAGAGAGAGAAAAGTTAAAGAGAGGAAGAGAAAAGAAAACTAAAACTCAAAAAAACTAATTAATAAAACTAAAACTAAACTAATGAAAACTTAAAACTAAACTAAGATAAACTAGTAATTAAAAGCTAACTAAAGAAAATCTCCACCGTAAAACTACTACTTCTCCACCTTAAATAAGAAAAGAAATAGGAGTTCAATACAAGTCAACTTCTTCTAATTCCCACTCAAAGCCAAAGCTGCGGGAACTTGGAGCAAAACAACGAAGCCCAATAGATGAAGTAACATGCGCTGAAATCCGCCTGATCAGGCCAGGCCTTGCCCGATCGGCCCATCTTTCTGGGAGCGAGCTGGGCTTCAAAGCTCTACCTCCCTTTTGTTCTTGGACTTGGTCTTTTAGAGTTCATTAGCCCAAATTCATTCACTTATTTGGTCCGTCGTGATATAATAACTTGTAAAATCTAGGGTATTCTTTCGTATCAAGTCTTTAATTACCGAATTAAATTTCTCTAACTCGGCCTTGGGCTTAAAATATACGGTCATAAAATATGCTTCGTCTCTAATATATTTGTAGTGATTCAATAAGCTCTGAAATTGTCATAATTCTGCAAATTCCTACAAAATAATACCAACTCTACAAAAATATTAAAAACGTATATTAGTAATAAAAATAGCTCCGTAGAGCTCAAATAAGCACAAATATGACCATGGGACAGGGAATAAAAAAATATATATAATAGACTCATCAAACTCCCCCAAGCCAAACATTTGCTTGTCCCTAAGCAAAGCAATGAATAAATAAATTAATACTTTACCCAAAAAAAAAAATTTTAATTAATAAATATAATTCAAGGTAAATCTGACAAACAAGTATCAAAGTCAACCAATCAAATCCGTCCAACTACCAATCTTTCCTAACAATTGTCAAATAGAGAAAACCACAAGAGCATATAGAATTCAAGATTAGTGCTCACACACTCAACTCTCATTTATGTGGCGAGTAAAAGATGTACTCGATCGCTCCCCAACCAACCCCTTTAATGTGAATAATGCCCTCCCAACTCACACTCTCGTATGTTTAAAAAGACAAGCACTCAACCTAATAGTCGACTCGAAATATGTCAAATCATTCTTAGAATTGATAAACAACTAATTTCACATTCACAAAACTCTATGCACAAAGGTCGGAAGGTCTTCAAATCTTGTAATGTAAGGCTAGGATAAAAGGGTAGGAAATATTTGAGAAAATGTGAGAGTAAATCCATGCTTAAGACCGGGAGCCAAATCCTAATAAAATCAAGATCAAAAATAAATAATGACCAACAAATCTCCAACATACTCAACTCCACCAAAAATTCACCAAATACAACTCCAATCATATCAAATAATTTTCAACACTTACAATTTCACTCCTAAAATATAATAATGTAAAACTTGAGTGAATAAACAAACTTTACTAACAAACATGAAAATTTTCATTGAAACTCAACTTCTAAAATTTTTTCTTTCTTTTGATCAACCTCCAACTAGAACATTTAATTTGAACATTAAACAATTTTTTTTTCTTTTGCTCTTTTTTTCTATTGAAGTTCACCTATTTTTTCACTTTTTTTTTTTTTGAATTTCTCTTTTTTTCTCATAACATCATACTTTATTTTTTTCAAGAAGATTAAACTTTCAAACTCATCAAAAATAAACTACGATCAAGAACAAAATAACTTCTCAAAACCCACCCAAATTGTGCAAATAATAAGCACACTACAAACTCCCTCAGCTCACTCACTAATAGCTCCCCAAGCCAAATTTGGGACTAGTAACCAATGGGGCAAAATGGGCTTGTAATGTGGTTTATAAACAACAAAAAGTCAAGGCAACAACATGGGTAAGCAAGAAGGGAACGAATGTATCTAAAATCATCTGAAGGTTACCTAAAAGAACAGATGCCTTCGTCCTCCACAATGTGCATAATAATGAGTCATATAAACATTACTTATAGTTGCAAACCAATACTCAAATTCATTGACATACTAGGAACTAACACACATTCCTAACCAAATCAACTAGTCAAGCGCCATATTCACAAGTAGTTGGCCAAAATTGACGCATGTTAAGGTTTCAAGGTAATCAAACAACAAATCATGATCAACTTGTAACGCCCCATATTGTTGAACTAATAAATTTTGAATTATTATGTGTATAATGTTGTTTTCTATTAAAATAATAACACTTTTAATTTATGATTGATAAGAGTGTAAAACTAATTTAAAATATTAATTGTTAATTATTTATTTACGGTTTTTAGTTGAGCCGGTTGAGGCGAATTATACCGAGGTTACTTTTATGGACTGAACCAATTTTCGGTGTTTAGGCTATAACCTAGGAGGTGTTGGGCTGATTTGGCATGGGATTGGAGTAGTATACAAGTATTTGATTGGTTTTTGGAAGTTAGATATTGGATTCTTTCATTTGACTCTTTAATTGCCAAGTTAATGCTCCCCTTAATTCTTGCCTTCAATTTATATTCTCTTGCCTCTTACAACTCCCAAACCCATTATATTTGCTGCCCTCATTAAGAAAACAATCATCAATTTCTTTTCCCATTGACCATGGGAATCAATCCTCAAAAGTTTTTGCACTCTTCCTTCTTTCACCTCCATATTACATCTCCTTATTTCTCAATTCTTGTGAGATTTGTTGCTGGGTTTCATTGTTGCAAGGATCATCATATTTTCCCTCTCAATTTGGCTGTGAAAATAAGTAAGTTTAATGGGTTTAACCCTTCCCTTCTCGTCCCCCTCTTGTATGGTTTGTTATACATGCATCTTCTTATTTCAATCTTGTTTTGTATAGGTTTTCAAGTTCATCAAGAGGACTAGTTTGTATTGAGTTCTTCTGGTTTCTTGGGTTTTATCGGAAGTGTATCGAGGTAACTAGAATTATTCCATACTCTAGAAATCATGGGTGGGTTAAGATAAGATTAGACGCGTCTAGGATTTGTTATTCGGGTTTTCGGTTGCGGTTTCTAATAAACTTGTAATAATCTGTTTTGTGGTGTATTTTGCGTGTGAAATGGCTGCTTGTGGTTCATTTTTTTTTTCTCTTTACATTATCATGTCTATTATTGGGGTTTTTATCATGTTTATTTGTGTAAAGGAAATTGGCCTGAATGGAGTTGTCTTGGTCTCGTTTTCTTTCGATTATAATAATGGTTGTTGTGTGCTTTTGGTTCAAATACCTTCTGCCTACTTATTTACTCTGCGTGAGGTATGCTAGAAATTGTAAGTGCATTTCTTTGCCTTGTTGTCATGAATCTCATGAATTAAATCTCCAAAAGCAAGTGTTGTTATATTTAAACTAGTTGAAGTAAGCATGCTCTAATAATAATAATCTCGTCTAAGTCACAATCTGATATATATATTCACATGCTATGTCATCGTTGCTGCTGCAAGTTCATACATCTTACCATGATCTTATGCCTATTTATTGATGTTTTGATTGTTGGTTTCACATGTAGCTATTAGTATAATTGTGGGTAGTATTAGCTGAGCAAAAAAAAAAAAAAAAAAAAAATAGGATGATCTGATGATTGTGCATAGTGGGTTTGGCAAATATTCGTGGTTATATACTAAGTTGTTCGTGGTAACTTATCTTGATTAATCATTTGATTGAAGTACTAAATACTATACATTGGGTAACTTTATTTATGTATGTAATTTTATATTTTAATTAGTCGTATAAAGATAGTTGATTTTTCTATGTATTTAAACAATAGGTAGTGATGGAAATTTTGAATAAGCAGCAATGTTGATTTAAAATTCTGAGTGTTTATATAGAGTAAAAAAAATGGTTTTAAAGTGTCAAGTAAGTTGTCGACGTCGTTGTGCTTTAAAGTAGAATAACACTGTTTTTAGCACCGCTTCGCCAAGGGTTGTGTACGGAGTGTATTGTGATATTTTGTTATAATTAGCTTCGTACCCAAATACAGACAATAAGAGTGACACCTTAGTATGATATATGAGTTATTTTATATTTTGAAGAATTTTGAAGTTAAACTCTTTCGAAGAATTTATATTGAATTTTGGTTTTAGAAGTAAAGACCTGCAGTTACTTTAAATTGGGGTTGATGATCCCTAAATGTGTTTAAATGATTTTTAAGAAGTATGTTTATAAATTTTATATATTTTTTGTGAGTGTAAGACAACCATTGGGCTGCGGAATTCAATGGTTGGAACATGCCAACATCTTGGGCTGCGGAATTCGAGTAGGAAAACTGGGAGTTTGGTCATTCTCAGACGCAGACGGCTGCGGAATCGTCTGTAGGTTCGCCCTGACAAACCTTTGATGGTGGGCTGCGGATTTCACCGGCGTTCATATTTTATATGCTTGCCTCACTATAAATCTTATTTTCAAAAGGGTTAAAATTTATTTATTTTAAAGATACTATTGTTTTGGGAAGGGACCTTTACAAGTGTTAATTATCGTCTATATGAGTTACTAATTGTTTTGAGTTACTATATTCAATTCTAATTTCTTGTGGTAATATTTTTTTTCTTACGCTGTTATATTTACATGCTTGATCTGTATTATAATCATGATTCCATGTTTTATTTATTTATTTATTTTTCCCTCGAGTTTAACTGGTAAATATTATTTGAGTTGATGTTCCCACATGTTGTTAAGTTTTGTGCTAGTGTCTAAGCTTTTCTATAGTACTTAGCTTTGTATTTCTACAAGTACTAGGAGAACTGCTAGTTACTCCCCGCTGATTGTGGAACCTTAATGTTATTTGCAGGTGAAGAATAGTTCCTTTTGAGTCTGGGCTGAGAGCAGTGTGTTTACTTTATTTCTTAGCAGTTTTATAGACTTTGATTAGGGGATTTTGCTCCCACCAATCGGAATGCGCCACGTGGGCCAATCAGGTCCTGCCAAGTGTCCCCCAGTTGGAACTGTCAGGGCTTGCCACGTGGCACACGCTTATTCGTCCACCTTGGACCTATTATGTCATGACATGTGGCATACTCCATGCCTAATGGAGAAACCGGCCACCCAGGCCCAACTTCCGAGGGAAGCCTAATCAGCCCTAGGTTGACCTAAACCTAGGATGGGCACGTTTCCCAAGGTTATAAATACCTCCCTTAATCCTCATTAAGGGAGATTACACACGAATAACAGGCTGATCACGTTACAAAAGCAGATTACCTACATTAAACACTCTCACCTAGAGAGACTCAATCACTTTAATTTCCGCATTAATTACTCCTTAATCAAGTACTAACTTGACCGTTGGAGGCGGAGCTCCCACCACCAGGAGTCTCCGTTGTTTTGCAGGTACAGGCGTCCGGTTCCAGTCTCGGAATTGTAACTCTCCCGCAGGACATCAGAAAACCCCGAAACATTTGGCGCCGTCTGTGGGGAGAGTACTTCTGAGATGGCATCCAAGTCTGTACCGACTCCTGAAGAGAGGCGTCCCCTAGACGACCCTCAAGTTCAGTCGAACGGTACTGAGAGTGAATTTGAAGTTGAAGCTCACACAGCTTCAGACGGGACCCTAAGGGCCCGACGTACCCGTCATACCGAAAGGAGGGAACGGGAACATCTTCAAACTGGAAGTGAGCCAGCAGGCGCACCGCCTGTTCGGCAGCAGCCGACTGATGGATCTGCTCCCATCACAAGGAACGATCTCATGACCTTCATGAGGGACTTCAAGGGAGAAATTCAAGAGTTGATCAACAAGAAGCCGCCTGCTCTGGACAAGGAACAGTCGGCTAAGAAACCCTCCTCTTCACAGAAGAGGAAGCCAGTTCAAGGGCGAGAGGCGACTCCTCATCCTAAATCTAGGAAGCGGCAGCCGACTGCCCTTGATTTCACAAACTACTGTTTTCCTACTCCAGGAAATAGGAAACCTGTTCGTCATATTCAGGCGGACGGGTCGAGGAAATCATACACAGACGCTCGGCAACTGCTAGAGCAGAAGAAGAGTGACCGATTGTCAGAGTCGGCCTCTACTTCAAACTTCCAAGACAGTCTGCGAAATACCTCAATGAGGCATACGCAGTCGTATCATGATAGTCAGTCAGGCGGCACCTCCCGTCAGTCCGGCTTTCACCATCTGATGGCATTCACCAACCTGATGTACCTTCAAGGGTTGGATGATCCCACTTGGTGCAAGTGTTTCCCAGCGACTCTCAAAGGAATCGCACAACAATGGTTCGGCAACCTGCCGACTGGTTGTGTAAATAACTTCAGGACGCTTGCTTACTTATTCACCTCCAACTTCGCCATGAACATCCCTGCGAAGAAGACGACCCTTGATTTAGGAACAATTCAGCAGGGCGAGAAGGAGGGGCTTCGTTCTTACATCAGGCGGTTTAACCTGATGAGAATACAGATTCAAGGGTTACCGGATGAAGTAGCCTATACTGACTTTTTCAGAGGTCTCAAGGACAGGTCGACCTTCAAATTTGATTTGGTCCGAAAGAGGGTGGCGACTCTTCAAGAGGCCTTGATTGAAGCGGAAGCCTATATACAGGCGACTGATCTTTGTACGGTAAAACAGTCGGACGGGAAAAGGTCCAACAAAAGAGAAGGACGACAGAAACAGTCGTCAAACAAAGATGAGAAGAGAAAAGAGGTCTGGGCGGCTGATTCCTCTAAACAGCCGGCCCAGAAAAAGAAGAAAGAATTCAAACCATACTCCCCAAAGTATGCGTTTAACAAGGATAACCAGTTTATCCTAAAAGAAATCAAGGGACGGATCTCAATTGAGAAGCCGGTCCCCATGAAGGGTTCTGCAAGCAACAGGAACCAAGAAAAATTCTGTGATTATCATGAAGATGTTGGTCATCACACCAACGAATGCATCAGTCTCATGCGGTATCTGGACCGCCTGGCTGAGCAAGGTGATCTTGACTCTTATGTCAAGAAATCCACGGGGAACACTTCCTCGAAAAAAGCAGTCGGCCAAAAAGAGTCAACAGGCCGACAGCTTTGATACAGATGATGCAGTCGTCTACACCATTGCAGGCGGCTTCGCCGGAGGCAGTCCCACTATTAGGGGCAACAAAGACAATATCAGGTGGCTAGATGTAAATTCCGTTCACCAAGAACGGCCCTCCAAATATTCATTTCCTGAGATTGTCATCACTGAAGAAGATCTAGGAGGGGTAAGAGGGCCGCATGACGACCCTATCGTTATTGAATGTAAAGTGGCCAACCAGAGAGTTGGCCGAATCCTCATAGATACCGGAAGCTCCTCAGATCTCATCAGTAGCAAATGTCTGTCGAAACTAAAATATCAGACTGATTGCATACATCCGGCATCCCACCCTTTAATAGGGTTTGGAGGAGGAGTCGTCCACCCATTGGGACGAGTGGATTTACCCATCCGCCTAGGCGAAAAAGGGGAAGGACGACACATGGTAGTCCGGTTCCTGGTAGTAGAAGAACTCTCGGCCTACAACATGATTCTGGGACGACCAACCCTGAATAATTCCAAGGCTGTTATAATCCCATCTCTTATGTTGCTCAAGTTTGAGAGGGATAATGGAACAGTCGGCTCCCTAAGGGGAGATCAGAGGATGGTCCGAGAGTGCTATCTCTCGGATGTCAAGCCCACTGTTATGGCCACTGGGTCGACTGGTGGAAAAACAGACCTTGACAAAGTCAAGGAGAGTGCGCCTGTTCAAGAAGCAGGCGGCAAGAAGAGAAAGGCATCCCAGACAGGGGCCGCAAGAAAAGACAAAAAATAGCAATCATTGGCAGAGGAGCGGTCGGATGAATTCCGCCCTCAGCCGTCTGGTGAGCATACGGACTTGATCTTAGACGACTCACGTCCTGAGCGAACAGTCAAAGTTGGGACGACTGCTCTGAGAGACCTTGGTGACGACTTTCACAAACTATTGAAAGAATACAAGGGCATCTTTGCATTCGAAGTCCATGAAATGCCAGGCATTAGTCCTGATCTGGCGGTACATAAACTGGCCGTGGATCCAAAAAAGAAGCCGGTACGGCAGAAGAAACGGAACCATGGCGAAGAAAGAAGTCAGGCGGCAGCCGCCGAAGTTAAAAAATTACTTGATGCAGGGTTCATTCGGCAATGTTACTTCCCAGACTGGGTTGCAAATGTAGTGCTTGTTAAAAAGCCGAATGGCACTTGGCGAATGTGTGTAGACTACACAGACTTAAACAAGGCGTGCCCCAAAGACAGTTACCCTCTGCCTAAAATTGATAACCTGGTCGACTCAACAGCCGGCCATGCCTTGATGAGTTTCATGGACGCCTATTCTGGTTTCCATCAAATTCCCTTATGGAAGAAAGATCAGGAGAAGACGGCCTTCGTCACTGATCAGGGGTTATACTGTTACACGGTCATGCCGTTTGGTCTTAAGAATGCCCCGGCTACCTTCCAACGAATGATAAACACTGTGTTCTTTGATCAGATTGGGAGAAATGTCGAGGCATACATTGATGATATGATTGTCAAGACTAAACTTCAGAAAGATCATCTGTCGGACCTCCGAGAAACTTTCGCCACACTCAGGCGGCACCATGTCATGCTCAATCCCAAGAAATGTGTATTTGGGGTTGAGTCTGGGAAATTTCTCGGATTCCTTATCAATCAGAGAGGAATAGAGGCGAACCCTGAGAAGGTGCAGGCGGTCATTGACATGCAGTCGCCTCGTACCATCCGAGAGGTTCAGAAGTTAACAGGTTGTCTGGCGGCCTTGGGAAGATTTCTAAGCCGATCAGGCGACAAATGCTTATACTTTTTCCAGGCAATTAAGAAAAAGGCAAGGTTTGAATGGGGGCCGGATGCTGAGGCCGCCTTCCATAAATTGAAAGTTCACTTGCATTCCTTGCCGAGGCTGGTCAGCCCTTTGCCCAAAGAAGTACTCTACATGTACCTGGCCGTCTCTGATCATGCGTTAAGCGCTGTTCTCCTTGCTGAAAGAGACGGCTGTCAGCTCCCGGTCTACTTTGTCAGTCACGTACTGAAAAATGCCGAGTTGAGGTATCCCTTAGTGGAGAAATTTGGTCTTGCACTCTTCATGGCTGTTAAAAAATTGAAGCCCTACTTTTTGGCACATGCAGTCGTCGTGTGTACAGACCAACCTATCAAGCGGCCACTGACCATCATGGAGTCGTCAGGCCGAATGATCAAGTAGGCCATAGAAATTCAGAGCCTCGAAGTTACTTTCGAGCCTAGAAAAGCAGTGAAGGGGCAAGCCTTTGCTGACTTTATTGTTGAGATGACTCGTCCCCCTGACTCTCAAGTTCCAGACCAAGTCTGGAAGGTATATGTGGACGGAAGCTCTACTTCAAATGGTTGTGGAGCAGGCGTCATATGTCAGTCGCCGGAGGGCGACATGTACGAGTATGCTCTACGCTTCAGTTTTCAGGCCTCAAACAATGAGGCAGAATATGAAGCTTTACTAGCCGGAATCCGCATGTGCAAGGCGGCAGGGGCAAGAAAAATAGACGCCTGTTCCGATTCACAATTGATAGTGAGTCAGTACAATGGCGAATACGAAGCAACCCATCCGGCCATGATCAAGTATTTACAGGCGGTCCGACAAGCAGTCGGCTCCCTTGAGGATTTCCATCTGATCCAAGTGCCGAGATCAGAAAACAACCAGGCGGATGCACTTTCAAAATTAGCATCATCCGCCTCCTGTGATACTCCTCGAACTGTTTTTTGGGAAGTAATGGTTAGGAGAAGCATTGAGGAAGAACCTATTGCAATCCTAGACAGAAGCTCAACCTGGATGGATCCAATCAGGGCATATCTGACAAACGGTACCCTGCCGGATGATCATCAACAGGCGGCAGCACTGAAAAAACGAGCAACCAGTGTTGAAATAATAAAG